GTTCGTCCGTCTGTCTGTCTGTCCGTCCGTCACACTTTTTGGGACACAACAACTCTCCTTCTAATCGACCTAGAATGTTCAAACTTGGTGTAGGTGTTTATTAGGTCAATGCCTTGATGGAGTTCGAAGATGAGCATTTTCGGCTTAGGGTAAGCAGAGATAAGCAATTTGATTGGTTGATGCTTTGGGACACGATAACGTTAGTTCTAATTAAGTGAGAGAGATGAAACTTGGGGTATAGTTTCATTACATCAATACCTTGACTAAGTTCGATAATGAGCATTTTCTGCTCAGGGTAAGCAGAGCGATAAACAATTTGATTGGCCAAGATTTTGGAACACAATAACCCTCCTTCTAATCATAGAACTAAATACACTGGAACGCCAACGAGCCATTTAGAGCGAATTATGCTCGTCCTCACATGCGCGAAAATGAAAGTGCCATGTTTACTTGAATGAAATTTTTGAAAATATAATTATTATTTTTGACCCGGTTACTTGTTAGTTCTTGTGTATTTACACCCGTGAAAGCTATTCTTGGACTATATTGACGGAAAATACGATCCTTCGCAATGCATTAATTGAGTGTAGGCCTACAAGTTATCAATATCAATGTGATTGTCAATTCAATGAAGCGTTTGCGGCACCAATTACTTTCGTTTTTAAAAGAAAATAACAGAAATTGTAGTTTGTTTATCAAGGTATGTACATCAATTACTTAAACATTTATTCCAATAAAATATTTCACATTATTAATCTCGAAATAGTAAGCCTTGGTAACTTTGGTTTCACAGTTTTAGCCCTTTGCTATGCTATTGCATAGGTAGCGGCCCGAGTTAGATTTGTTTACAATTACAAACAATTTTTAATCAAACCCCATCACCAGGACATTATTTCTCTGCCTGCACATTTGATGCTTAGTGAAATTCAAATTTCAATGTCTTGATGGCTATAAGAATTATATTAGAATATGTGTTATAATCCCAAGTACCGATGATGTCAACATAATATACACTGAGTATACTGTGTCTTTTAAAATGATAAAAAAAAAACCTTTTCGACCAGTTAAAAACTTTACCATGTCACGCATGTGTTTTATTTTAGCAGATTGATGGGGAAATATTCAAGAGAGGATTGGCCAAAAACGGCCGTAGCACACGTGGAAGGTAATTTGTGATAGGTAATTTGTGATAGGCCTACCTATTTCTAAAAACAGTGATCAGCTGTCAAAAAAAGTCACAATATGCAGGCAGAATTCTCGGGGCATTTTTATGAAGATTTGTAAAAGTAAAATAATACTAGGCCTTGTAATATATTCCTACATATTTCTTTAAAAGGGTGATCAGCTGTCAAAAAAAAAAAAAAAAAAAATCGCGATATGCAGGCAGAATATGTCACTGCGTTTTGTGAAGATTTGTAAAGTTAAAATAATATAGACCTACTAGGCCTCATTATATAGCCCTGTCTATTTCTAAATACAGTAATAAGCTGTCAAAAAAAGTCACAATATGCTGGGAGAATTCTCTGAGCATTTTATGAAGATTTGTAAAATTAAAATAATACTAGGCCTTGTAATATAGGCCTACATATTTCTAAAAAAAAAGGTGATCAGCTGTCAAAAAGTCATGATAACCAGGCAGAATATTTCACTGCATTTTGTGAAGATTTGTCAAGTTAAAATAATACTAGGCCTTGTAATATAGGCCTACATATTTCTAAAAAAAAAAGGTGATCAGCTGTCAAAAAAAAAGTCATGATAAGCAGGCAGAATATTTGACTGCATTTTGTGAAGATTTTTAAATTTAAAATAATATAGACCTACTAGGCCTCATTATATAGCCCTGTCTATTTCTAAATACAGTAATAAGCTGTCAAAAAAAGTCACAATATGCAGGCAGAATTCTCGGGGCATTTTTATGTAGATTTGTAAAAGTAAAATAATAAAAGGGTGATCAGCTGTCAAAAATTTTTTTTTGTCCCCCGCCTTTCGAAGAAAGCAGGGGACTATTAAAATGGGTTCGTCCGTCTGTCTGTCCGTCACACTTTTTGGGACACAATAACTCTCTTCCTAATTGAGCTAGAATGTTCAAACTTGGTGTATGTGTTTATTAGGTCAATGCCTTGATGGAGTTCGAAGATGAGCATTTTCCGCTAAGGGTAAGCAGAGATAAGCAATTTGATTGGTTGATGCTTTGGGACACGATAACTCTCTTCCTAATTGGGCTAGAATGTTCAAACTTGGTGTATGTGTTGATTAGGTCAATGTCTTGATGGAGTTCGAAGATGAGCATTTTCCGCTTAGGGTAAGCAGAGATAAGCAATTTGATTGGTCGATGCTTTGGGACACGATAACTTTTAATTGAGCTAGAATGTTCAAACTTGGTGTATGTGTTTATTAGGTCAATGCCTTGATGGAGTTCGAAGATGAGCATTTTCCGCTTAGGGTAAGCAGAGATAAGCAATTTGATTGGTTGATACTTTGGGGCACGATAACTCTCTTCCTAATTGAGCTAGAATGTTCAAACTTGGTGTATGTGTTGATTAGGTCAATGCCTTGATGGAGTTCGAAGATGAGCATTTTCCGCTTAGGGTAAGCAGAGATAAGCAATTTGATTGGTTGATGCTTTGGGACACGATAACTTTAGTTCTAATTAAGTGAGATTGATGAAACTTGTTGTATAGTTTCATTACAGTAATACCTTGACTAAGTTTGATAATGAGCATTTTCTGCTCAGGGTAAGCAGAGCGATACGCAATTTGATTGGTCGAGACTTTGGAAAACAATAACTCTCCTACTTTGATTGTCCCCCGCCTTTCGAAGAAAGCAGGGAACTATTAAAATGGGTTCGTCCGTCTGTCTGTTTGTCTGTCAGTTCCGCTTATTTGTGATAAATTTATATGTGTCCTCTAATTATTTTCCTATTTCGGCGGGGGACATCAGCCTCACTGTTGGCTTGTTAAAAATTGCGATATGCAGGCAGAATATGTCACTGCATTTTGTGAAAATTTGTAAAGGTAAAATAATATAGACCTACTAGGCCTCATTATATAGCCCTGTCTATTTCTAAAAACAGTCATAAGCTGTCAAAAAAAAGTCATAATATGCTGGCAGAATTCTCTGAGCATTTTATGAAGATTTTTAAAATTAAAATAATACTAGGCCTTGTAATATAGGCCTACATATTTCTAAAAAAAAAAAGGTGATCAGCTGTCAAAAAAAAGTCACGATAAGCAGGCAGAATATTTCACTGCATTTTGTGAAGATTTGTCAAGTTAAAATAATATAGACCTACTACTACCAGGCCTCCTTATATAGCCCTGTCTATTTTTAAAAACAGTCATAAGCTGTCAAAAAAAAGTCGAAATATGCAGGCAGAATTCTCTGAGCATGTTATGAAGATTTGTAAAATTCAAATACTACTAGGCCTTGTAATATAGGCCTACATATTTCTAAAAAAAAAAGGTGATCAACTGTCAAAAAAAAGTCATGATAAGCAGGTGGAAAATTTCATTGCATTTTGTGAAGATTTGCAAAATTAAAATAATATAGGCCTACTAGGGCTCATTTTTTATATAGGCCTACCTATTTCTAAAACAGTGATCAGCTGTCAAAAAAAAGTCGAAATATGCAGGCAGAATTCTCTGAGCATGTTATGAAGATTTGTAAAATTCAAATACTACTAGGCCTTGTAATATAGGCCTACATATTTCTAAAAAAAAGGTGATCAACTGTCAAAAAAAAGTCATGATAAGCAGGCAGAAAATTTCATTGCATTTTGTGAAGAATTGCAAAATTAAAATAATATAGGCCTACTAGGGCTCATTTTTTATATAGGCCTACCTATTTCTAAAACAGTGATCAGCTGTCAAAAAAAAGTCGAAATATGCAGGCAGAATTCTCTGAGCATGTTATGAAGATTTGTAAAATTCAAATACTACTAGGCCTTGTAATATAGGCCTACATATTTCTAAAAAAAAGGTGATCAACTGTCAAAAAAAAGTCATGATAAGCAGGCAGAAAATTTCATTGCATTTTGTGAAGATTTGTAAAATTAAAATAATATAGGCCTACTAGGGCTCATTTTTTATATAGGCCTACCTATTTCTAAAACAGTGATCAGCTGTCAAAATATGCAGGCAGAATTCTCTTAGCATGTTATGAAGATTTGTAAAATTAAAATAATACTAGGCCTTGTAATATAGGCCTACATATTTCTAAAAAAAAGGTGATCAGCTGTCAAAAAAGTCATGATAAGCAGGCAGACAATTTCACTGCATTTTTTGAAGATTTGCAAAATTAAAATAATATAGGCCTATTAGGCCTCATTTTTATATAGGCCTACCTATTTCTAAAACACTGTCAAAAAAAAGGTCAAAATATGCAGGTAGAAAATTTCATTGCATTTTGTGAAGATTTGCAAAATTAAAATAATATAGGCCTACTAGGCCTCATTTTTATATAGGCCTACCTATTTCTAAAACAGTGATCAGCTGTCAAAAAAAGTCAAAATCAAACAGAATTCTCTGAGCATGTTATGAAGATTTATAAAATTAAAATAAATTGACATTTACAGGGAGGAAGGCGTTTGCCCACTATCAAGGAGATTTGGATTTTGATTCAGATGTTTGTTGAGAAAATTGCCTGTTTTCCCTTTTTGTCAGTGGTGCATCAGGTAGCATTGCATATACTGTATTATGGAAGCATGAAAGGAGTGCATTAAATATCAAAACTAAGTTTGGATTGGCACCAAGTACTGTGGATCAGAATGAAATAAAAAAAATTTTATTAAAAGGAAATAATAAATTTGAAATATGAAAAGTTGTGGATTTAAACGTTTATAATATGTGTATTTGCAATATAATAGAGACCCACAAAATGTAAAGACATTACTATTGTGAACTATGCTTCTAGTGAAGTGACACTGTGTGAAGCTAATGTTTTTAGGATCTCGAAAATTTGCCCAAGAAAATATACCATAGTTGCATTCACATTGAACCTTAACTTTGTATAAATTTATGACAATTTCACACATTTGATCAGAGAGAAAAGTTACCAGATTTATGCATATTTTCATTCACCCTATTGTAAATTGTGATCCGTGTGTCAATGTTACAATAAATGGTTTTATGTAATCATAGAGGAGGGAGTGGGTAAATTTTACAGTTTACTGAATACACCTGTACCAGTACACACAAGAGCTGCATTATCTTATGAATTGAATAGAAATTGACTTTAAACACATTGAGGAGAATTCATAATTTCATTGAGTGGACAAGATAGACAGTCTCTATCCCTAGTACATTTTCAAAATATTCACAATAATCCAATGATTTCATTCATTATATTTATTAAAATTATTTCCAAAAAATAGAATGTGTAACTGAAAGTGTATAATGTACAGTCAGTTGATAGCTGAGTCTATTCCAATTTTTCACAAGAAATATATTTCAAAGTCTTTCAGGCACTCGCATAACAGCCTGCTTTTCATTCAGTGCAACAACTATTTTAAAGTTAGGATTTAGGGATGAATCAACACTCAGTGCAGGTGGTTATTTAGGAATTATATTTTATTGTCCTTCTTCAATGTTAGAAATTCCTTGTTCACATCAAATGAAAGTTATTCATAAAATTAAATACAATGGCTTTTGTATTATTGGTCTGAAAAAAAAAATACATATTAATTATTAGTAGTAGTATGTTTGAACATAAAATAGAGTTTCTTCAGGGATTTCTGTGTCTACAAATTACAAATAAATTTTACAGTTGAATAAAGAGAAATGCATTTTTATTTATACTAATATAATTTATGCATAAATTAAAAAGGCAGTTGGTGTCAGACTTTACAGATGGGTTTATATTCAAATCAGACTCAATACCTAGAAAGTACGACCGATTTCAGGTAATGCCATGGGAATTGGCACAAGAAAAACTTTCTTCAATCAGCATTATTCACTTGATAGCTCTTTTAATTTTACCCAAACAAGGCCTTAATTTATATACAAATCCACTCCTTCAATGACACAAATCTGATATCCTTTTCTTCTTGATTATCATGTGAATTTTTTCACAAAGAAATAATATTCAAAAGGAAAATTCCATTTGTACATTTTTCTTTGAATTAGATCAAATAATTTAAATTTAAAAACAAAATACCAGTATTCATTTTTTTGTACTTTTATTTTATTAGTTCCCCAATATTGTAAAATTAGAAGTATGGTTGTGCTCACTGAAATATTACTAAATGTACTTTTATTTTATTAGTTCCCCAATATTGTAAAATTAGAAGTATGGTTGTGCTCACTGAAATATTAATAAATCAACTTTTTGAAATTCATTCACATTCCTGACAGGCCTATAAGTCTATAGACTATAGTAAACAAAAGGGTTTGGTACGTAATTCTGTCCCCGACTTAAACCAGTCATAACATTATTATTTTGTAAATCGATTCATTTATGTTTTCTCAAAAAAAAACGATGACTTGATTGTATGAATTATAGGCCTAATGACATTAGTGAATTTTCAACATACCTATTTATAAAGACAGTGCGCAGTTTGTAAATTGTACTGTGCTGGCAGCCAGTCGACGTCGTCGCTTCCAGTTCTTCATCATTTTACAACTCTCCCTGTTGCATTATTTATGACATTTTTTTTTATATCAATAATAAATGATGAGCGAAGATCACAACATTTGTTTGGAGTGAGGCACAAATGAATAAATATTTAATCCAATTCACTCGCTTGCTTTCAACATTATCAAGCTAACAAAATTACGTGATAATAACAATATACCGGAAGTAAACTGGGCACTTTTTCGAAGCATGTCACACAGCCACAAATTTTACCGGAAGTAGACGCTCGTTGGGAGAACGCTAGATCGAGGACGGTCCTACGCATTTCTTTACCTTGGTGTAAGCGGCCCGTGCATTCGGAGTTCTTTTGTTTGACCGAGTGTTTGGTTTGATTTTCCCCGCGAAATTCAATCAGATGAGATGACCAGTAATCTTAAAATGTCGGACTCGGAGCCTAAAATGCCACTGAAAAGAAAGAGGTACGGTATATGCTGTTATCGCTGAATAATCCAATTTCCTTGCTCAATTAATCGACCATAGTAACGTCTCACACGCCAGATTATCTCAACGCTTCAGATTTATTATATGTTCTCGCAGCTAACGTCAACGAACTTCCAAGTTCTACCAGTAGGCCTACCACCAGTGGTGCAGGGCCTGTTAATATATTAGCCTATAGGATAGGTTATTGCCGGCTTTTAATAACCGATTTTTAATTCATTGTCGACAAAATGGCGAAGATTTAACCGGTCCTTGGTTCATGGTGTATTGGTAGCCTGCATATGACTTTTATATTAATCACACTGTCACTATCATATAGGTACATGTATCATTCCATGCCAGTAAGTTCCAGGTAATTACAACCAATACAGACCTGCAATTGTAGTTCAAACTAGGCCTAGTAGTTATGATGATTTATCATGATTTTCAAGTTCGGCTGGGTGACCGAATGGTTGAGGATCAGAAATGAAATGGGGGTTTAACGTCCTACTGATGAAGTCCGGCATATGCTACAGTGTGCTATGGGGGAAATTTTTCCTAGGCAGCAGCACTATGGCCTACTCTTGCGTTGAATTAGACTGTCTGTCATTGAGTCCATTTGTGTGATTGCAATAAAAACCTATGCGCAAGCGAATTATTGAAATAAAATTGAACCATGTAAGTCCTAGTTAGACCTCTTTTAAATTGAAATAATTTATTTGACATTATTTTGAAGTCCACAAAATGTTTGTTGGTAACAGTTGATTTTAATTTGCATGCAAATCGTGAACCACTAAAAGGAGCCGACAGAAACATTAGGTTAGTTTTCCCCTTACTGATGTAATAACATTCAACAATATCTAATAAATGACCCGTCCCACAGTCATGTAAAAAACTAATTGGTCAATTTTAACCATGGAACAAATGTGTTTATAAAATATGAGAAAACATCAAATTATTGTGTCTCATCTCTGTACAATCAAACTGTGATTTTGGAGCTGGCTCACGAACCTTGGGGTCCTAGAAAGTTTTTCTGCATTATCAATCCTGGTTTTCTAAGGTCAGCAATAAAGGATAGGGGGGGGGGGGTGTATACCATTTGCAGCATGATACTGTTCTCCTGACAATTGAAGTTTCACTGTTCGGACAATTTCTCACATATAACACTGAATGACATATGCCCATTTCCTTTAATCTTTTTAATTTATTTATTTTTCAGATATAAAACAAATACTATAAAAGATCGGCAACGTTGTTAGCGGTACCTTTAATCTGGGGCAGTCATACCCAGACCCAGCTAATCCAACGAGAATAAAAAGATCCCCCTCCACAAGTCCACCCACTCTAGAAGATGCATGTATTGTGAAGAAACAGACCACACAATTTTAAGAATATTACAGAATATAATATATACTGACCAAAATTAAATATACACAATATAAAACAGGAATATGTTTTAATAGCATCAATGTTAACACTGCATGAAGTTTTAGATTTTATACTCGACATCTACTTACCGGTCTTAGAGATAAGCAATTTTGAGGCAAAAGTTTATAGCTATAGCATAAACAATTCTCTGTGATCTCAACCATGCCACCCTTTTTTCTGTGGTCTCTGTGACATCTCTTGAATGCCTTGAGACAACACGTCTGTGCACAGTTTTCCTACGCTTTGATGGTGAGGAAGGGTCTGTAAGATGGGTCAGTCGTGGCCTTTTCTAGTGTTGGCAAATCCGGCAAACTTTTAATATTATCAGAACTTGATTGTGGTGTAGGAATAGTGGTGCGTGGATCACTGGATGTGTCAGCTACTCAGCATAAAAAGCATAAAATATCGATAGATTTTCCCACTCTTACTGCCTCTACATAGCTTTTTCTAGACAATTCTGAAGAAAACAAAACATTCAAAACTTGTGAAAATATCAACAAATATCATTCTAAGGATATTGTCATTTGGTTTATAAATTTCATTGAGTTTAAAACAAATATACACATTGCAATACATAATTACTTTCAACGAAAAATAGTCTTTATTATTTGGTAGTTTTTAGTTTGGTCAAAAAATTTCATAAAGAATGAAGACATACTTGTATCACAAGTCCTGCATGTCCATTGATCACACTTGCCTGTTCTTCACTGCCCTACTAGTACTACACTTTACAGTTTACACGCTTCTCAACCATTTTGAATGACAGATTTTCAATTGACAAAAATTACCAGCCATTCCTTTTATAAATACGGGACTACCTACTATCACTATAAACCATTCTATCTTCCAAATTACAAAGAATCCATTCTGTATTTTAGTATACAATGTATCATTTGCAGGTGAAAAGTCCAGCCATTTAGTACTAGTAGGCCTAGTATCTATTTGATCACACGAAAATATAAAAACAACAACCCATCCTATAATTCCACGGCATATACAAATGGTTTTTAGTTGTGGTTTTGTCTATAATATCCATATTTAGCACATAAATGTCGAATACAGTATAAAAAAAGAGCCATGAACGGCTAAGACTCATTGTCACCAGACTAGAGGCAGTTGCTCGGATCTAAGTTAGAGGTTATTAAGGGCTTTTCACACACAATTAAGCAGTTTTATAGCCCAAAATCCATCTGGAAATATCCCTTTAAAAATTATCTCACTACAAAGTCGATATATAGCCTATATATATATTATTATAGGGGTCAGGTCATAGTTACGTATAGATACGTCTGACACAATACTTACATCAATAAATTAAAATCATAAAAACATCGAGGGGTAATTAGCGCAAGGTTGGCAATCTGCGCACCAGCTTAATACTCGCAGATTGCAGGGGTGAAGATAATCAAGGTTGCGCCTTCGCATTTTCTTAGTGTACCGCACGACACGATACTAGATTAGTGTGCCGTTCAAAATTTCGCGACACATTTAGGGAGATCTCGCGGCACCTGGGCGTGTCAAAACGGGTCATAGTTCAATTAGGTCAATTCTGCCAAACCGCAACGCATTATGCCAATTATGGGGTAATAGTAAATTTTGATTTTATTTTGATTTTAACTTCCATTTAATTTCAATTTTAATCACACTGATCAGCAGTGAATTTTCGCTAGGCCACTACAATCACTGATAAGGATGACATCGATGCAACTGAATGAGCCAGAAATATTAACTTTTTTCCTGCGACAAATTAAATTCTAAAACATTTTTTTTATGTATTGGAAAAATAAATAAAGGCGTTTGACGTATTGTAGGTAAAAATTATTTCCTATTTAGTGTAAATGGGTATTAAAATGACTAAAAGGCAGCATTCGAGCTTCCCGAAGCAGTAACGTCTTACGTAAACAATGCACGCGCCATTCAGCCAATATGACGTTCCTTTGGAGTTTGATTTGATTTTTATCTAGATTTGATTTTACTTTTCAATTTGATTTAGCTTTTAAGATTACTGGTCGTCTGATCTGATTGAATTTCGCGGGGAAAATCAAACCAAACACTCGGCAAACAAAAGAACTCCGAATGCACGGGCCGCTTACACCAAGGTAAAGAAATGCGTTGGACCGTCCTCGATCTAGCGTTCTCCTGTATTTAGTTCTATGTTCTAATTGAGCTAGAATGTTCAAACTTGGTGTAGGTGTTTATTAGGCCAATGCCTTGATGGAGTGTGAAGATAAACGTTTTCTGCTTAGGGTAAGCAGAGATAAGCAATTTGATTGGTTGATGCTTTGGGACACGATAACTTTAGTTCCAACATAGATAATACCGTATGATTGCCGACTCGTCTTTAGTTTACGTGATGTATTACGGTATTATCTATGGTTCCAATTAAGTGAAAGTGATGAAACTTGGTGTATAGTTTCATTACATCAATATCTTGACTAAATTCGATGATGAGCATTTTCTGCTCAAGGTAAGCAGAGCGATAAGCAATTTGATTGGCCGAGACTTTGGAACACAATAACTCTCCTTCTAATTAAGCTTGAATGTTCAAACTTGGTGTAGGGATTTATGAGGCCAATGCCGCGATGGAGTGCAAAGATCAGCATTTTCTGCTTAGGGTAAGCAGAGATTCAATTTGATTGGTTGATGCTTTGGAACACGATAACTTTAGTTCTAATTAAGTGAGAGTGATGAAACTTGGTGTATAGTTTCATTACATCAATACCTTGACTAAGTTCGATGATGAGAATTTTCTGCTTAGGCTAACAAGCAATAAGCATTTTGATTGGTCAAGACTTTGGAACATAACAACTCTTCTTCTAATTGAGGTAGAATGTTTAAACTTGATGTAGATGTTCGTCTTGACTGAGTTCAACGATTAACATATCGAGCTAAAGCTAAGCAGAGATAAGCAATTTCCTGCTTTGGGACTAGATAACTTTGATTCTATCTGATAGAGAGTGATGAAACTTAGTGTATAGTTGATAATCAGTTTGATTGCTTGATACTTTGGAAAAAAATAGATGTGCGATTAATTAATATGTGTCATCTATTTATTTGGGGATTTCGGCGGGGGACATCAGCCTCACTGTTGGCTTTTTGTTGTGTTGTTTGATAAGTTTAGTGACTTTTGGTTAATACTTATTTTCTTCAGTTGCCTTTAAACTCTGATTGCAGCAGCCTTGACTCCTGTAAAAAAAACAAATAGCATTTCTGAAGAAAAAGTAAGTAAAATAATAATAACCAAGGTGTGTATTAAGATGAAAGATAATGTACCAAATATATTCAAACTAAAGGGTATTATGTGATCATTTAGCATTTCAAAGCGGGACGTCATGATTTCAACAAAACAGAAAAGATCAAAGAACTTAAAAGTATTTAAGACACATAAATTTAAAAGTAATGTATTATTTTGCTCAGTGAATTCCTCATTGATACTGTTACCCATTTAAAGATACATTATGGGAGATTTTAATAGAGAGTTGGCCATTCTTGCTATATCAGTTCAAAAATAGATGATGAAAGAAAAATAGATAATGAAAGAAAAATATATTGAAAATTTCAGTCAAAATTACTTTATTCTGAACAAAGTTATCACTATTGTAATTTTTGACTAGAAATGGGAGTCAACTCTCTCTTCACCGTCTCCGAGAATGGACGATCGTTTGATTGACAGGCGTTAACTCCACCTACATAATCTCGATTATCAAGTAACGTTTTCAATGGCTGTGGTTTGAGACGGGGTTGCAATTCAATTCGTATCACATTTATTTTTACTACAAATAAAAAATAAGAGTTTTAATATATAGATAAGAAGCGAAAGTTTGAAAGGAATTGACCAAATCAATGAGGCATAATTATAGCCGACTTCTTGTACTGTAACTGGTAGGCCTGCGTAACTCCCGAACAGTGATCCTAGCTGCGATGTTTATCAATTTCTATAATTTTTCTGTAAACGCAAGTGACAAAAGAGCGTAGCCTATAATACCGACATCCAAACTCTCATTTTAAACACAACTAAACATAATATCAAGGCCGTATACATGTATATCGAACTTTCAATCAAATTGACTGACATGCGGCATCGCTCAACAGCGGCCTCGCTTCGTACGGTTGATGCTATATCGCCCCTAGTAAAAACACAAAAGGGGGGGAGCTACCAATAGCTAAATGACCAGACATTCTAACGTATTTGTAGGCGGGAATTAAAAAACCTAACCACGCCTTGACATGATCGGTGAAGGTCGCTTTCTGGATATTATTCAGAACAGAGAAATATGGCGACTGAACTGCCAGCTGAGCTATGGCGACGGACCTGCCAACAAAAATCTTTAATTCCTTAGAGGAAGCAGAAAAGTTTATTTAGCAGATAGAAATCCGGGAAACCACGCACTTTGTAACCAAAAAGACCCGCAATTTCAATGTATCAGGTAGGAAACGTCTTTTGATATCGATATGAATTGCCAACGTTGTTGTTTTCAAAAGTCAAAACGTGATTTCCATTGAAGCGATTTCTTGTATTTCTCACTTAATTTATGTTATCGATATCTCAACTGTGTTTTGGCTCTGTTTTTTTTTATTGACAGGCCTATTTCAGATATATCTTTTACATTATTTATTCATTTCATGAATACATCTAGAACTCTAAAAAAGACACGTTTTTTTGGCGGGAAAATTGGACGATGTGCAGCTTTTGATTGTAACTTGAAGACATTATAAATGCACGATGCAAATCTGCCTATTATGCCTGAAATGTTAAATAACTTATTAATTAGACATTTATTAACACGACAACACCATAACCAACTGTCGATGCCATCGGATGACTCCGATTTTAACCCAGCGGTAGGGTGACCCATGCAACAATAATTATCCGCTAAGAAATTCGGTCTTACCTGGAGAGTTGTTGACTGTCCAACGACGAATTTCTGAATGATGACAAAACACCGCCGGGTCCGCTGGGAGCACGTGCGAGTAATTCATCGCAGCAAATATCCACTATATATGGCCATGCACGTGGTATTGTCACAACATCAGATGGTAGATAAAGACAAGTTAAAATTTATTTCATCACGCGTTTGTCTTTAGAAATTATTTGATCGCAAACTACGTTCAAAATTCTAAAAATTATTGTCGTTTTTATTTTTCAATTCGCTATTTATCTACAGAGTGTTGTCATTTAGTTTCGGCGATTTCACATCTCCGTAGAACTTGTTTTAGACGGGATAAGAAAAAAAGCCGTAGTTATCTTTTAATTTTTTAAAGGTTCCTAAAATCTTCGTGGAATCGCTAAGACGGCTGGTGTCAAGTTAGAAAATAAACAAATTGTTTCGTATCTTAAATTTGCTACCGGGAATTAATCGAAACGCACAATAGTCTCGGTTGACTATATTTACTGTTCGAGACTATTGGCTTTTATGGTTAAAGGGAAACAAATCTTTTTAATTTGTTTAGGAATTGACCGACTGACTTGTTTTAATTTGTTGTCAACCCATTCAATTAGCAAGCATGACGTCCAACGATGAATTACTATCCAGCATTGGTTTGGGCGATGACTAAGATCTCAGTACAATAACTAATCTTCCCTTCGCAAGAATTACAAATAGGCTAGTACTAGGCATTATTAATAAATTTCCGACCAATACGGAGCACCGGTCTATAAGTACTGCTTTACATGACGACTGCGTGACGTTTGATAACAAAGGTATTCAAAGTAGGCTGGCCAGACTGAAGACAAAGACTAGAAAGCTGGGTAAAAATAAAAATAATTCTAATAACGCTTTCAAATTATATGACGATTATCTCGACAGTCCTTTTTTCCCTGGGTTAGTGGACAAGACACCATCGGCAGATACCAGCACGGTACATTTAATAAATAGAGAGACACAGACATCTGTCGATGCTGC